TCAGAGGCCAGGTCTGTTTAAGAGTTTATGTTATAGGCTAAATTGTATGCTTATTATTCCTAGTGTGATAAGGCCTAGGGGAATACACTAATGTTCATGTAACATCTGGATCATTTTATTTTTTCCACAGATGGTGGAACTTAATATGATTTTGGCATCCTGTAAGCCAATCACTTTCTAATTTTTTTTAAAATACTGAGTTAAATTAAAATGTGGTTGTCACACATTTTACCCATTAATACATTTCTAAAAACTACTTTCCTAATAGACATGGTGCAGATGATGTGACTGTGCTACAAGAAAGCACTCTTTGTTAGTTGCACAAGCCATTTTGCAGAAGCTTCACATCCAGTCTCTGATGATTCCCCCCTTTACACATCTCTGATCATCTGTGAAAGCTAAGTAATGGCAAAAATTTAAACAGTTGTTAAGTAGTTCACATGTTGAAAAAGGTCAGCAGGTTATTGCTTGGGTTGTGAACACACCTGTAGAAAACAGCAGTGTACAATGTGTATGCTAAAGTAACAGAAGCTTAAAATTCAAAATTCAGCTTAAAAACTGGACGGTAGGTAGGACAGTAGGTAGGTAAGTAGGTAGGTGGGTAGGTAGGTAGGTAGACAGATGTGACGGAAAATGTGGAATGTGGAAATGTGACAGATCTGGAATTCCTTATTTAAGCATACAATTTACATAATAACAAACTTTAAGTTTATGATTAACAATTAATTTGTCTTTATACTTATAAATCATAAGTGAATGGTTACATGAGGTTTGCATGGGAGAAGGGGAAGGTGATATGTCAGCTAGTTCATAGCTTTATAATGGCTTAGCCAAATGTCTGCTGTAACTGGTGAGTTAGGCCAGTTTATATCTATGGTGCTCTGGTAGGAATTTGCACCTAAAACGTTGCACAAATTTAACTCTATGGTTTTACACAGTTTTAGAACATGAAATGCATCTAACAATTCAATCTTCAATTTAATCCAATGCAATGATAAAATGAAGGTCAAAATCTGTTAAAATGTTTTTTTTCCCTATCTCAAAGGATGGTCAATACCTGTGTTTTTCAGTTTACGTATGTAAAGTAGTGGTTAAGAAATGCAAAATGACAACATATCTCTTCCTGTACTCACATATTTTCTTGCCATTATACAACCCCATTTCCAAAAAAGGAATGTAAAAAAACCCAAAATGCAATGATGTGCAAGTCATTTAAACTCTATATTTCATTGAAAATGCTTCAGAGACAACATATCAAATGTTGAAACTGAAATTTTACTGTTTTTTGAAAAATATATGCCCATTTGTAATTTGATGCCAGCAACACGTTCCAAAAAAGTTGGGATGGTAAAGTTGTGTAATGCTAAAAAAACCACCTGGTGGTTGATTGACAACAGGTCAGTAATGTGATTGAATATAAAAAGAGCATCTCAGAAAGGTCTTTCAGAAGTAAAGATAGGGAGGGGTTCACCACTCTGTAAAAGACTGCACGATCAAATAGTGCAACAATTCAAGAATAACATTTCTCAACATAAAATAGCAAAGAACTTTTGCTTTTCATCATCTACAGTACATAATCTTATTAAAATATTCAGAGAATCTGGAGAAATCTTTGTATGCAAAGGACAAGGCCAAAAACTATTTGCTGGCTGTGGTCTTCGGGCCCTCAGACGGCACTGCATTAAAAACAGACATGTTTCTGTTGTGGAAATCACTGTATGGGCTCAGGAAAACTTCTGAACAACACTGTCTGTGAAAAAATTTGTCGCTGCTTCCATAAATGCTAATTAAAACTATTAAATGTAAAGAAGAAGGCATACACCGATCAGGCATAACATTATGGCCACCTCCTTGTTTCTACACTCATTTTCCATTTTTTCAGCTCCACTTACTATATAGGTGCACTTTGTAGTTCTACAATTACAGACTGTAGTCCATCTGTTTCTCTGCATACTTTGTTAGCCCCCTTTTACCCTGTTCTTCAGTGGTCAGGACCCCCATGGACCCTCACAGAGCAGGTACTATTTGGGTGGTGCATCAGAAACAGCACTGCAGTAACACTGATGTGGTGGTGGTGTGTTAGTGTGTGTTGCGCTGGTACGAGTGGATCAGACACAGCAGTGCTGCTGGAGTTTTTAAACACGTCATTGTTACTGCTGGACTGAGAATAGTCCACCAACCAAAAATATCCAGCCAACAGCGTCCTGTGGGCAGCGTCCTGTGACCACTGATGAAGGACTAGAGGATGACCAACACAAACTTCACAGCAGCAGATGAGCTATCGTCTCTGACTTTACATCTACAAGGTGGACTGACAAGGTAGGAGTGTCTAATAGAGTGGACAGTGAGTGGAGACAGTGCAGCAGCACTGCTGTGTCTGATCCGCTCGTACCAGCACAACACACACTAACACACCACCACCACGTCAGTGTTACTGCAGTGCTGAGAATGAGCCACCACCCAAATAGTAACAGTCTGTAATTGTAGAACTACAAAGTGCACCTATTTAGTGAGTGGAGCTGATAAAATGGACAATGAGTGTAGAAACAAGGTGGTGGTCATAATGTTATGCCTGATTGGTGTATATAAACAGGTTCCAGGAATACTACCACTTTCTCTGGGCCAGAGGTCATTTTGGTCCGACAAATCAGCATTTGAATTTCTTTTTGGAAATCATGAACACTGCGTTTTATATATATATATATTATATATATATTATATATATATACACACAATTCTTCTGTACTTTATATGTAAATAATACTGTATTTTGCATTTCTGGTTAGATGCTGCATTTCATCGGCTCTGTATCTGTACTCTGCATAATGACAAAGTTGAATCTAATCTAATCTAATGTGTCACACTTGAATGTTTCAGATCATCAAACTACTTTTAACAGACAGAGATAACCAAGGTAAACACAAAATGCAGTTTTTAAATGATGATTTCATTAACTAAAAAAATGCTCTTCAGCCCTACCTGGCCCTACGTAAAACAGTAATTGCCCCCTTACCTACTAAATCAACCAGTTAAGCAAATGACTGTTGGGTTCAATTTCACTAGCCACGCCCAGGCATGATTATTGCCAGACTTGTTGAATAAAAACATCACTTAAATCAAACCTGTCTGGCAATGTGAAGCAGGCTAGAAGAAAAGCAGCAAATGATGCACGTTCTAAAGAGATACAGATGTGAAACAAAGTCATTGAAATCTAACAGTCTAGAAAGGGTTACAAAGCCATTGCTAAGGCTCTGGCGAACCACATTGAGAGCCATTATCCACAAATGAAGAGTGGCCAGCCTACCCAAATTTCACCAAAAGCACATCAAAGACTCATCCAGGAGGCCACAAAAGAACTCAGACAAACATCTAAAGAACTGCAGGCCTCTCTTGCCTCAGTTAAGGTCAATGTACACAGTTCCACAATATGAAATATACTGGGCAAAAATGGCACCCATGGGAAAGTTGCAAGGTGCAACCCACTGCCGACCAGAAAGGACATATGAACTCGTCTTGCATTTGCCAAAAATATTCTTTGGACTGATGAGTCAAAGGTGGAACTTTTTGGAAGACATGTCCCATTACGTCTGGCATAAAGAACCATGAATTCTGCTCTCTATCAGACAATCCCGAGGGAGAGTTTGTGACCTAAAGCCTCAAGCGCAGCTGGGCTATGCAGCAGGACAATGACCTGAAGCACACAAGCGAGTCCACCTCTAAAAAGAAACAAAGTTAAGGTTTTGGAGTGACCAAGTCAAAGTGCTGACTTGAATCACATTTTTTTAGGTTAGTTATTAGGAGAGCAATTACTTCATATATGTATTGAATAAATGTTTATCTTCAATATGATCAATGATCAAAATGCAGCTTTTAAATGATCAAAAAATATTATTTAAAAGCTGCATTTTGTGTTTACTCGTGTTGTCTTTATCTTGTATTAACAGAATGTTATATTTTTATTGTATGGGAACAAATAAAGGAACAGAAACTAAACAATACATGACTTTACATTCTCTAGCTAAAAACAAAAACAAAAACAAAAAAAAAAAACAATTTAAAACAGATCACAGATACTGTAAATACTTACTCTACCTGATGTGCATCATATGGTCAGATGTTCTTATCCACATCACATCTAGTGTCCTTTCTTGCTTAGGACTAATCATTTGCTGATTATGTGCTGGCAGCATAAAGGACTGTCCAATAAGCCTGGGCAATAGGGCAATGTAATTGGGTATCATTGATGCTGGACAAGTAACCCATGGTGATGTGTAAAAGGCAATAATCATCGTTTTGGTAAAAGAGCTGAGAGAACTAGAGAGGACTAATTTACCATTTAATAGCTTGAAAAATACGCTGGGGTTTAAAGTTTAAGAAAAGTGCAGGCTCACGGAATAGTAGTCAGTTTTTGAGAAAGAGAGAGAGAGACAGAGAGAGATTTCTTAAGAAACTGCCTGTGTATTTTCTCTCTGTTACACACAGTAATACTACCTTTACCACACATATTCCCCTCAATTTACTTTACGCGAATAGAACTGAAAATGAATGCCGACGTGCTTTGGAACTTCAGTTTGCCTCAAAGTGACTCGCTGCAGTAAAAAAAAATAGCTGAAATGACTGGATGTTGGCATAGAGCAGCTTAACTCTAACCTGGAGAGAAGTTCCCCGATCCTTGTCTACAGCCAATATTCACAGAAAAAGGTAATAAATAATTTCACATAAAATGTACCCATAACGTTTTATCCGCTTTTACTCTTGAAAAATTGATTAAGTATCCTGGTTTTTAGTTGAACTATATTAAAAAAAAAAGTCGCTGTAGCGACGGAAAACTACTTGTTTTGAAAGTGCAAAGCACCTGAGCATGGCTTTGGAAATCACTTGTAGTCGGAAGTTTCTCCAGCAGGGAGGGCTATTAGCACGCAAGTCGCCACAAATCTGCACAATCGCCCGCCCTTCCCTCTCCTCCCCTCCCCTCCCCTCATCCTCCTCCACCTCCCTATAAAACACAAACTTCATACTTGAGCCTCACTTCCGCGCCGGCGTTTGAAGAGTTTCTTTTGCCGTTGGCGATGTCCTCCTCAGACTACGACCACAGAACGGCTTTTCTCGGAGACTGGGGTACATTTCAAAAGACTGTGTTCTTTCTGTTATGTTCCAGCATTATCCCGAATGGTTTCACAGGCTTGTCCATCGTGTTTATCGGCGACACGCCGCCCCATCATTGCCACATTCCCGCTGGTGTAAATATCACTGCTGAATGGAAGAACGTTTCTATTCCCATAGAAGCGAACGGCAGAGCCAGTGAATGCTCGAGGTACAAACTGGATGTGCTGAAAAGTCATTCTGACAGGGGCTTGGTACCGTGGGTAGACGTGAACGTATCTGCCATAGAACAGGAGCGCTGTGTGGACGGATGGGAGTATGACCGAGAAACATACGTTTCCACCATCGTCACTGAGGTAGGTTGATCGTCTGGGATGGTGGCATACCGTCGTTAAGTTGGCTTGCGGTTAGCGATTCGGATTTCTACCGGCTATAACTCCGGAATGCAGTAACCGTATCAACTTCCATATCACGTTATTCTTCTCTTTGTTATCACAGGCATAATTTTAAACCACCTGAGCTTAACTCACTCCACTTGTCTCCAAATAGTTGGTTTAAACTGGACATTTCGATACAGCTGGCGGTCATGTAAGGCATATATGTATATATGTATATGTATGCATATATATATATATATATATATATATATATATATATATATATATATATATATATATGTATGTGTGTGTGTGTGTGTGTGTGTGTGTGTGTATATATATATATATATATATATATATACACACACATGAATAGAAATGAATTGGCTAACATTTAAGTAGTTATTTTCTGTAGCAAAGAGTCTAAAGCCCAGTTGTAATTGTTACAATCGATCAATCAATCAGCTTGTATTTTCACTCGAAATACATCGATGGTGACCTTCATTTACAGTGTAGCCCAACATTTACAACATTAGAGACTGAAAAAATATACAAAGGAATTTAATCAGGTTAAATTAAAATTAACAAAACTACATAAACAAAATAACAGAAAAAACACACAAAATAAATGGAAAATAATTAAGAGAACAATTATCCTTTGATTGAGAGAAAAATTTAAAATTAAACCAAGATAGTAAACCAACTAATAAGATTTCAACACAAAATGATAAATAGACAAACTAAGGATTATAAAAGGTAATAAATATAAATATTTAAAAGCAGAAATAGATTGAGATAAAATAAAATAAACATATTGATAAGAAAAAAGTAAATAAAAAAATAAGATAACTGTAAAATTAAATACAAAGGAGAAAGGAAAAGTTAAGCTCAATTAAAAAAGGCTGTCTGAAGGTGGTTAGAGACTAAAAGTTTGAAATAATTGCATGACACCAGCGGGCCAAGTTTCAGAGATTCTTGTAGTAAATTCCAGTTCACTGGTGCACTGTAGCCAAAAGCAAATTTTCCCAGTTCAGTAAAAACTCTCTGTACCTGAAAGGTGATCCAGTCACAGGAGCAGGTCTGATAAGTATTGTTATTTATAGAGCTCATAGATAAGATATAAGATGGCATATGGCCGGAGTAAATAATGAATAAAAATAAGCCGCTGTGTTTCCCATCGTGCTGCTAATGAGGACCAACCAACTTTATATATACAGTCTGTAGTAGTGAGTGTTGTAAAGGTTGCCAATAATGAATTGCAAGGTGGAGTGATAGATTGAGTCTAGTGATTTTGAGGGTACTGATGGACGCATGTCCAGAAGCCACATCACCGTAGTCCAGTACTGATAGTACGCTTGCCTCCACGACTCTTTTTGTAGCATACATAGGCAGATAAGATTTATTTCAATATAGGAATCCAAACCTCTGTCTGCACATACTGATTAGTTTATTAATATGAGATTTAAATCCACCCAAATACCAAGGTTAATCCACCCAAATACCAAGGTACCTATTCTCTGTGGCTCACTCAGTGCTGGATCCTGTCAGGATCCTGTCAACTTGCTTGGCATCTAAAACTAAATTGTGCTTGTATAGCGCATTCTGTAAGGTGTTAAATAAGCATTGGAGTTTTTCTGTTGCTGCATGAACAGATTCAGCAGAACAGTATAAAATCTTGTCATTTTTGTACAAGTGCACTTTGCAGTCTGAGGCTGAGGCAGTGAGATTTTATATATATATATATATACATATATATATATATGTGTGTGTGTGTGTGTGTGTGTGTGTGTGTGTGTGTGTGTTAAATAAAACTGGACCTAGGATTGGGCCTTGTGGGACCCCTTTGGTTATGGATGTTAAATCTGATGTGTACTCTGTATGTGTCTGAAAGGTAATAGGGGACCATTGCATTATTGTAAATACCAATCATTTGTAAGTATTCCAAAAAAAAAGTCTTTAGTCAACAGTGGCAAAATCTTTTGTTAAGTCAATTAAAATGGCAATACAGTGCTTCTTCCTGTCAGAGACCATGTAGAGATCATTTAAAACCAGTGAGATGGTGCCGTGCTTTTCTCTAAAGACACACTGAAAGTTAAGCAGGACGGAATTTATATAAAGAAATTGAGTTGGCTGTTCACTAAAGATTCTAAAATAACTGGGGTTACAAGATGCAGGAAATAGGGGTCCAAGCCGTTCTCACCTCACGGTCATGCAGTGCACAATTGCAGATGCGAAAACCCTGAGGCTGTATGGTGACCATCTATTGTTTTGGTGCCTGTAAGTTGTAAAAATGTTGAAATGTAATTTCATAGGAAGTTGTGACAACTTTATCTGACAGCGTTGAGACAATGTACTGCAACGTTGTCAGTAAGTTGTCACAACCTTCTAGAATCCTCAGAAGTTTCATTATGTCGGCATGGACCTTAATGGAATTTTACAAAGTTACCAATAGGTTGTCATAAATACCACATGGCAACGTTATGTAATAATGAGTTTGTGACGATGTTGTGATAACCTTGTCCAGGCAATGTAAACAGCACCCCCTTTTGGCAATATTGTATCATTTGTTTACTAATTTAACTTGACATTGAGCTGTATTTTGCTTGTAATCTTAATTGAACCACTGCAGATAAGCAAATTTGCTCAATTAGCTCATGACCAATGCGGAACCTGCACATTGCACAAGTCTGTCCCAAATGCAAGCAATCTTAAGGTTTCTTACCTAATAGGTCTGCACATTGTTGAATTCACATTGTTGAAGAGGACAGCAGGGCATTCGTTCATTCTTAAAGGGAAGCACTGATTCTATCAGCGGGGCCATGATGAGTCTGGCATGTTGGATTTGGGGGGATGCGATGCGTCATTGAGAAGTTGAGAAGAACACCTAATTATGGTGGCAGGTGGTATTTGCATGATTAGTGTCTGAAGCATAATATAGGAAACATCAGTTTTACTTTGCAAATGTTTCTGTGTAACATGGAATAACAGTGGCAAAAGCTTATATATTTATACATAGTGTTTTACTTCCAAAATTCAAAATACAAGTGTGAAAGATGAATGGTTTGGATTTTAATATGTTGAAATAACTGATGTTGACTGGAAGTGATAATCAACGACCTCTCTTGCCCAACTCCGAATCTGTCCAAGTTTATCCTTAACAACATTTTGATCAATATTAGTCTGTTCATTTACACTGTTACTGTTTTGATAAAAAATAAAAGCTTTCATTCCATGAATATTGATTTAGCAAACTTGTATTTCAATTGGATTTTTTAGGTAACACCCTTATAAAACCCATATGCAGCCAACTTAAAAGGGGGGATCGTTCATATCATCTATGTTAATCAAGTGTAACAGAGATATGGAAAAAAGGTATAAAAACCTTAACCTATTGGGATGTGCTGTACCATTGCTGATTGTCTGTTTTACAGAATGGTCTTGTTCTAAAAAGAGTAGTCTTGGAAATACACAAAATCACAACTTTATTGAAGTGCAAAAACACACTTAAAATACTTGCTACATGCAGTCAGGAAGCTAAAACTTAATTACACTTAATGTAGTAATAATAATAATAATAATAATAATAATAATAAGCCTTATTAATTGAGCACTTTTCATGCCGGTGGCAGCTCAGTGCTTTACAGGAGGTGATAAGGCTTAATAGTAATAGAAGTATGAGTATTAATTTAAAGTCATGTAAGACATTGACACAGATCAAATAAAAGACACAAAGAATTGTAATCAAGCACTAAGTGAAAGAGTGGAATTGAGTTCCACAGTTTAGAAGCATAAAAACTGAAAGATGCCTCTCTACGTTTTCTCCATGTTTTCCAGAAGGTGTTTGCAGAAGGCCAGTATCTGCAGATCTAAGGTCACATGCTGGAACATAAACAGACAGTCATTCTGTGATATAAGCAGTGGTCATTTAGAGCCTTTAAAACTCTCGTTTTTGCTTTTGTTAGAATCTGAATCTAGAAATGGCCAAACTTTAGCAATATTTCTCAAATGATAAAAAGCTACTTTACTGACTGTGTTTACATGTGGGATAAAACAGAACTCAGAGTCTAAGATTACACTCAGATTTGGTACTTTAGGTTTGGTATATGAAGAACCAAGCTTCTCCTAAATCATTTTTCTCTGAATTTTATTTCCAAGGATCAGTATTTCAGTTTTTTCATGATTTAGTTGTAGACAATTTTGTGGCATCCACTAGGAAATATCTGACAGTCAGCTGATAAGCCTGTCAACAGAGTCTTGATTATCAGAAGAAATGGAAATGAACTTCATTGCATGAAAACAACTTTTTCTAGGACTTTACTTAAAAAGGAAGGTTTGAAATTGGTCTAATCCATGCTATAGCTGAAGAGACTGCAAACATTCCATCACCCATTCCGGCATTTTGAGTTAATGTTGTATCACAGAATGCAAAATACAAATAAATCATGTATTTGAAGGGGATAAATAAATACATAGGCCCCCAGAGACCTACAGTGAGAAGTAATGTTGTAATAAAGGGCAACAACTTTTCCATCCAGTAAACAGAGTTACAATTTTTTGGCTAAGAGACCAAAAAGGCTATATTACCACATCTCTAAATAGGATCTCACAATAAATGTAGTAAATATGTTGGAAAAAGTAAGTGTTAATGTTATTAGTAGTACGTGTGTTGAGGGTTACACCAGTGTAGTCATTTGTGGTATCTCATTTCTCATTTCATCTAGTGCACAAATCTCACAACTACCCCTCAAAAAATGATGTTGCAGTAAGTTTTAATATTCTAATTTAATTTGACCGGAAATAATGAGAAGGGAATTAAAAAGGGAATTTTGGCGAAATAATCTTTTTATGCATAATCTTTACTCCTCGATGTCGTCCTGGTGCTTGGACCCCGCAGATTGCTGCTTGCGGCTATATTTCTTTCTTTAAATTTTCTGGCTTAAAGTGTTTTGAACATGTGAACGTTTGCTCAGTACAAATGCAGTTCAGTTTATTTTTAGCACACATGGTATTCATAGTATCCATGTTAACGACCAAAAAATCAAAAAGCCAGTACAACACGTGAAAACAGCTTTGTACAGTTGTACACACATAAAATCATATTTTTATTAAAAAACAAAGTTCAAAACTTCAAACCAGTGAGATTCAACTGCTCACCCTGGGGGCATGAAGAACAGAGATGCAGTCTCAGTTCCTAAAATGCAGGGGACAAAAAATTAATTTTAATTAATTAATTCATTTTAATGTAATTTTATTTTGTTAGGGTTTGGGACAGCCACCTCCAAATAGAAAGTACCTTATAAATATCACTGTCTCAATTAATGCCTTTCGATAGATCATAACATAATTCTTGGGTCTGAATACTTTCATGTGTTTTTTTTTTGTTTGTTTTTTTTTTTAACTGATTAGGTAGAGTGGTCCATATTAAGTCGTATGCAAATGTTTGTGTCCATTGGTCAAATTGCATGTTTTGTTAATTTAAGTGATATACAACCTCACAAAGAACACACTTTTACATTTTAATGCACAGTTACTGCTTATTTGCTAAATTAAACAGAAAAGAAAAAATAAAATAGAAAATGTATCATAGCTTTTTTACCATAGGCCACAGTTTGCATTTTATTTTTTTCCAATTTATTAAACTTAGGAAATATATAGAAATTATGCATTAAAAATTGTGCAAAAAGACTTACTTTCATTTCATTTAACTTACTTTCATATAGAAAATCAACAAACTTGGCATTTGACTAGGAGTGTTCAAACTTTTGCATACGACTGTAGGTATCAACATTGTTACTACCTACCATATTGACTCTGTGTGGTGTGCTGTACAAAAGACTGCAAGGATTGAAGCTGAAAATGGTGTAAAAAAAAATCTTAAGCCTACAGGCTTTATCTAAATAAGCTATTGTGTGGAATGATGTTGTACATAAACATAATTCAACACAATTCTAACAATTTTGTCAGTTTTAGCAAATGCCAGAATACTCAGTAAAAGGCAGAGATGGCAGAGAAAGAAAGGACAGTATAAAGGAAGGAAAGTGATCAAGGAGACATGGACAATGGACAGAATGAAAGCAGAATGAAAGAATATAGAGAGCAAATCGAATCAGAGAGGAAGCCTCGGCTGCGAGTCCTTTCCAGAGCATAGATCATGCTGATCATGCATTTTTAAAAATAATAAGTAATTTCAGTTCATGATTGTCATTCAGACTAATGTGATGAAATGTTTTGTTGTTATATACAGGATGCTGATATACTAATAGAAGGCTATAATAAATACATTTCCATGTTGTGCCACCCCCATTATAAAAAGTTTTATTATCATTAAAATGGTGCATTGTTGAGAACTTTATATTTCATAGCCATTTTATTTACTATCTAAAACATCCAGTGAACCTACACATTTGAATTTTGTTATGTGTAATGTTGACAATGGTATAAATCAGAAAAGAGCAAATACAAGCTTCTGAAAAGTAATGCCTGTTGCAGAATACTGTCACTGTTGTGACAAAACCCAAAACAAAATGTAATGTAGGACACTTTCAAGTAGACCATTCTTTGTCAAAAGGTAAAGGGCAGCTGGTGAATTCAAATGGTATAAAAATCATAATAAAAACAATGAAAATGAAACCAATGATTTATGATGTCTTTAAAATACCCTGTGAGCACTGATTACATGTGATTGATTATGTGATATTTTTATGCATTGAATTGGGATGTTGCTGTGTTGTTTGGTTGTTGGCAGTGGGACTTGGTATGCTCAGATGACTGGAAAGCTCCTTTGACTTCATCACTTTTCTTCTGTGGTGTCCTCATTGGATCCTTCATCTCTGGACAACTATCTGACAGGTGATATTTTTAATATCCACTCACCTTTAACACAGATTTTTTTTTTTTTTAATGGCATTAATTTTGCTAAATGAGCCATACATTCATTCAGAAGATGATGGTGGATAAATGGACTAAAATTTTGGGGTTCTCTCTCAGATTTTAGACAAAGCCAGTAGCCTGTTTTTCAGTGATTTAAAGATTTTGTACAGTGTTTCCATAATGTATTAGTGGGACATCCTTGCATTCCTTTACTTTTGAACTGTATTATGAAGCAGTTTACTCTAGTATATTAATAAAATTCTTTGGATGAAAGAGACTGATAGGAATAGCTTCTTGGCCAGAGGTGCCATTCTTTTTGTCTTTTACTTAAGAAGAGTTTCCTGGTTAGTGAGCTGAATAGGATGAAGGTAATTTGTTCTACTGTTCTTTGTTCTTTTGATATAAAACAATATATTATTTTTGCAGCCCAATGCACTGGTCTAACAATTTCTGAAAATACATCTACAATGACAACTTCTTTGATAGTCTGTACATGCAAAAGTTCCAAAAATCTAGGGTAATTTTTTAATCAAAAAATGGCTAAATTCATAAAGGCATCAACATTCTGTTAGGCAGCCAGGTTATTACCTTTATTAAGTTAAATCAAATATTTTTCACACTACAAGAGTGTAATAGACTACTTTGCATTTCATTGAAAAGACATAACATGTATTTCAGTCAGGTACATGTGATTTTCATACACTGTTGAAGGGGAGGGGGGGTTGCAAAACCAAGTCATTTTTTGGATGTTCAAATTATTGGTTAGATGAGTTTAATTAATTAATTAATTAAAGTTTGTTATGTTTTCCTGTGCCATGTGCCTATGTTTTCTAGTCCATGTGTTTTTGTTGTTGTTAGCTTCTCCCCTGTTCTGCCATGTCTTCAGCCCACGCCTGTTGCTTCCTCTGTCGCTGTCATTGTCCACAGCTGTTCCTCGTCTTGAGTGTTTGTGTGTATATATACCTCTATTTTTCCCTAATTTTTTGGCCTGTATTTCTCTTGTACCCTTGTGCTCTTTGTTCTCGATTTGTGTTACTGTTCCTCGTTCATCCTCCCTGCTCATTGTTTGTTTTTTCAGTTCTGTGCTTCTTGTTCTCTGTTTCCAGTTCATGTTCAAGTTCATTTTCGTGGTTATACTTGTGTTCAGTTTCATGTTTAAGTTCGTGTTCATAGTGTTTGGTTTTCTCTGCTCATGTTTTCTTTGTATTTATGTACAGTTAATGTTTACTGGTTTTCTTAGTCCATTTAGTTCTCTGTATTATCGTGTTTTCTGTTTAGTTCATGGATCCGCACCACATTTATGTTCCTGCCTGCTTTCTGGATGTTCAGAATAAAGACTATAACAAAATAGATGTTCAATACTTTTATTTTAGAGAAAGTGAGTCTAGTATAATAATAAAGTAATAATAATAATATTTTTCCCCTAACACTGTAGTTTAAGTAGGCCATAATTGTCAAGAAACATGTAGTTTTCAAAGACTTCATAAACAGAACTGTTCACAGTACAGTTTTTTTCATAACTTGGTGCATGAATACACATTTCAGTTAAAGTGTGGAGTTGTAGAAGTGCAGGCCTGGCATAAGGGCATCATTTTGTCCAGCAAAACAGTAAAGACCGCATCCATACAAATTTACAATAAATTTCCTGCCCATATGTTACTGTGGATTGAGTGCAGCGTGGATGGCAGACAGCTTATCGCGCTCACAATCATGGGCATGCCAGTATCCCTGCTGTGACCAGGCATGCTCACACACACCAAGGGGCCCATGTCAAATGGCTGGAAGGCGACCATCGTCCATGGTGGAGTCATGGCACTTGTGCCAGCGTTGATAGTGGGGTGGGTGGCATAGAAAGTGGTTGGTCAGAGCAGCGCTGTTGCTGCCATTGCCCCTACCACACCAGGATTTGACTTGGTGCACTATGGGGCATATTGCTATTCGCACGGAGGAGCCATGCCAAGGACACAGCCCCAGATGAGGACGGGGTGTTTACCACTGAAAAGTGAGTGCCCCACGCCATTTGTGCTGGCCAGGACTGGGTACGCCAAGGGGTTTGGCTCAAGGTTGTGGGTGGCTGGGACAGTCAACCTTTAAATGGGAGGCTATATTGCATCCCACTGCTGCCATAGAGGCTGGGGAGGCATGGCCATATGAGGATGCTCGTGGGAGGCATGCACTCACTGGAAAAGGGACTGTTTGTTGTTTTTGTTGTGTTCTTTTCATTTAAAATGTGTATATGTGACCTAGGTCATTTTGTGTCAGGCAGTGGGCTTGTAGGTAGTTTGGTTGAGTGTTCTACTGTGAAGCACAGATATATGGCTGGTGATGACCTCCCTGCTATATTCATGCTGTGTTATCTGCCTTTCTGCTGGTGTTTCAATAAACGCACTACTCGCAGCAGAATCATGACCTCCCCTATGTCTTACTCTTACCCAAAATAGGTTTTGCATTTGTGTTTGTGGAAAAAGGAGGTCTAAGGAGACGGTAGTGAAACAGTTTTAAAAATAACATTCATTTCACCCATGCTGTCGCAGACGCTGTCATTTCTGACAACCGAAATAGCAAATGATCATGAATGGGAATAAATGTGCTTGTGTCCAACAAATTAGTAATGTAAATGTTCAGAAATATATGTAGCAATAGAAACACAATAGCACACAGACAGCTCTGATTCTACATGCTCATATGTTTCACTATGGCCTGTCTGGACATGCATGCACTGTAACTTTTCTGAGAGAAGACCTAAATGAGTTTATGGGTTGTTTGCCAGATTCTCAGAATGGAACAAGATCTTGTGGTTGGTGTTATGCTCCATCCATGATAGAGGCCCTAGTTTTAAAGATGGTCTTGTCTGAGTAAACGGAGCATTCATAATCCAGGTGATCTTTAGGGATTTTTGCCAATATTTTTGTTATTTTTAGTGCAAATATCACTTTTAGAAGAACCACTGTATTTGAATAAAAATGGTCCAAAGACAAGATATTTCCTTTATCTTGTCCACAGCCTGCTTAAGAATTAAATCATCTGGTGAAATTAGCAATTTCTCCCTAATTTAGGGTTTGTTGGTATGTTCAAGCTGATCTCAAATAACTCTAATTATAGAAGCTACCAAAGCCCCTCAGATTATCAACATACTTCAAAAAGGATTCACCAGATTTTTGTGTGTGCTGACAAAATCTGTTGAAGTATAGCCATCTTTGAACAGAGTAAATTTACATGGTGTCCTGGGTAATTTTCTCTTTTACACGTGCTCCTCTGTTTTCTTGCCATCCTAATCGTCTGTCGCCTGTATGTGTTTTTCCTCCCTCCTTCTATCCTCCTTGGTGAGGATGAAGGGCACATCCAGGTACACCAAGTACACTTAAATCACATTCTCTATTCATGCCTTTGCATGTTTCTAGGTGGTCAAGAAATTATGTTCTTCATATAAGTGTGCCTTGGCATTGAATACAGTGGGAATGTATTTCCTGTTCACGGGGCAGATTTCACCTATAGATCTTTAGATCTGCTAGGAGAACATGAGGGTTGGTAATGTACGTCATAAATGTTTACAATTATGTGAACATTATTTACAGTACTAACAGAAACATGCTTTGAAAACATATTGCATTAAAATGGATGTCTGTGTGACTTTTTAAACCATTTTGTTGGTTTAAATTTTGGGCAGAATAGGTAGTGATAGAGGTGGCAGCATTTGGTACCTTTTTGGTGCAGAGAATTTCATTTAAGATTTCAAGATTACAAAATTCTTTAGTAGAAAAAGATAAACTAAGAAGCATTTTCAAAAAGCTAAAAAAAAAATAAATAAATAAATAAAAAAAACATTGTGACAAAAAATGATATAAATAGGTGTATCTATTGTGAGAGACATCAGCATCTGCAAGTATCAAATTCAGTATAATGTGTTTAAAGGCATTATAATGCTGATTTATAATGCTGTTTTAATCAAGTCATATAAACTTTTTAAATTGTCATATAATTGTGAACATGACAGCCGTGTATATGATTATTTAGCAACATTTAATACAGAGGCCTTCACTTATTTGGCCAGTTTCCTGGACATGGGTTAAGCCTAGTCTGGGACTGATGGTGAATCTTCATTGGAAGTTTTTTTTTACTCTAGATTTAGGCTTAATCAGGGTCTGGAAACATTTCCTGTAAATAGCATTTGTTCATCTGATTAACGCTGTTCCATAATGCTAATTTCCACTGTATGGGATTTGTTACATTATGGTAGTACCAAGCTAGCAGTAATGTACATGTTCAGTAGCTATTTTGTGTTAAAATTAGGTTGTACAAAACCTACAGCAAAGCTAGAGAATGCTCAACAGGATTTGTAGTATAGGATTTGTGTAGGATTTGAAGTAGTCTAAATCGCCTTGCACGCTCAGCGGGAACTTTGCAGAGTTGGCATTATTGAGAGGTTACTGGTTCAAGTAATCAGTAGCTTGCCTCTAGAATCTCTTCTGAGTTGCATAGTGCAAGATTTACAGATATTCTGGGTTCTGAGATTAATCCTTGCCTTCTCAGATTAGTTATCTATTGTGCAAGGGGAGCATGTCAGCAGGGTGGGCACTGGCTATGACTAACAAATGGGGAAAAAAGGGAGGAAAAATTGTGTACATAAATTTATTTTTTCACAATACTTTAGAAGCCTGTAATGTGCCAGAATATGTGACATATAATATTAGGCGAGACAGCAACTGTCAGGATTTGATGCTTTATTTTCACCAGTATGGACATCACATTACATCACAGGGACTATGTAGTTTGTCACATTTGTGATAAATTATATAGTTAAAAAATGCGTAGTTTTCTGTCCTCTCATACATGGAAAAACCTTTTATATTTGAATCAATTATGTACTTGTACTTTAATTTTCAAAAATTTTCTTTTCACTTGCAGGTTTGGAAGGAAAATCGTGCTGTTTTTAACTATGGGAGTTCAGACAATATTCACTCTCATTCAGGTTTTCTCTCCATCGTGGGTTGTATTCTGTTCACTGTTCTTTGTCGTTGGGATGGGACAGATTTCAAACTATGTGGCTGCATTTGTTTTAGGTACGCGTGTAGAAGTGAATTTCACACTATCTTTTATGTCAAGCTAAATGTCTTTTTTAAGATAAACAGTGGACATGCATTTATTTTGTTTTTACCCATAATGATGCCCGAATATACAAGTTGTTTAACATTCGCTATTACAAGAATTTGAGCTAAGAGTGAAAGTCATAAAGTTAAAATTTGGAATTTTTTTGGCTGTGTGGATTCAGAATATGCTTTTGCTCTCTTAATACACTACTTTATCACAAGGAATGGAGATTCTGAGCCTACCGGTCCGCATCATCTACTCAACTGTTGGAGTGTGCATTTTCTTCTCCTTTGGCTACATGGTACTTCCACTTGTGGCTTACTTCATAAGAGGCTGGAGGATGCTACTGTTGGCCCTCACATTACCTGGCTTCCTCTACATCCCACTTTGGTGGTAGGTGTGTGCCATATATTATACTGATCAAATGAGTCCAGGTAACAAGTTATTATTTACTCATTAGAATGATGTGACTGTTAATATGATATATTCATACAAACAATGCAGTGCATGTGTGTAACTTGGAATAGAGCTTAACTGAATTAAATGACAACCCTAAAAATGGCAGGACTGCTCACTCAGAGAGCTCGGTTTTTTGGCATCACAGGATTGTTCCAGAGTCTCCAAGGTGGTTGCTATCTCAGGGTCGTGTGGATGAGGCAGAGGCCATACTGAGGGATGCTGCCAGGAGGAATGGGATCAAAGCCCCTGAAGAAATTTTTCCACCTTCTCAGGTAAGCGCATTTGTACTTTAAATAATAGTGTAATTTCCCATGATTTATGTCTTTAGCCATTAACTCATAAGACTCGTCATGTGCATTATTTTGCACCAAATTATACAGTTAGATATGAGGTATGGTTCATTAGAGAGATACTTTCCTTCTGCATGCATTCTCACGTATTTGGCCCCATTCCTTGCGCTGTTGTGTAGAGCTGTAATAAAGTGAGATGACTCCCCATGGAGATGGAATGCCTTAATTAAATCCACACTGACATGGTTGAGTTGAAGTGGAGGTTGTTTCTTTCATTCACTCTGGGAAGCAAGTGTGTCATGATCCTGATAATGGTAAATGTAAATGTTCAAAACAGTGTATTGAAATTTAAAGCTGTATCACTGACATGCTCCTCTGTCTCTTTTGAGGGTCTCTATTTACTGCCTATTTTTTGGATATTTCTTACACAGTCTGTGATTAAAACCAGCCATCTAGGTGCCTCCTATCATGTTATGTAAAAGGTTCTAGTCGGTAGGCACTTATAAATTTTAATGGTTGTGAGTTTTGGAGCTTATTTTGTTGTCTGAAATATGTTTATCACTGCACCCTTACTCATAAGACAGGCTTGGACTTAGCAATTATTATGATGTACAGTAAACATTGAAATTAGTAATTCATAATCATATTGGCACCATAGGGCAGCTCAGAGGACATATCTTCTTGCCATACACTATTGTTCTTGTGTTATTCCAAAAAGATCTCTTCCAATTACAAGCTTCTGAAACAAGAAATTGAGGACACTTTAATTAAAATGGAAATTTTCCATTTAAACAACTACAGACTCTTGTTTGTGTGTTTTCTTAGCTGTGGCCTTTAGATGGTGCCTTATTTGTAGTTGTGTGTGTTTATTTTATTTTATTTTAGTTTAGTTTGGCGATGGTGGTCACTGCTGTTTTATTGCAACACATTTGTTGTCACATGCTCTGTAGCCTAGGGACAAGGCTGGAACCATGCAGCCCCACAACCTCTGTGATCTGGTGAGATCCAGCAACATCCGTACTATTACTATTCTGCTGTGCCTAGTCTGGTAAGTGTCCATCTGCACACTGTTTTATTAACAAATAAAAGCCCAGCTGTCCAAAGCAAAGTACTTAAATGTAACCCTTTGTTATTAGAGTTATTGGAGTTTGGGAAAGTTTTAACTCTGAAATTTTTAGGCCTTGTTTTATTGCTCAAAGATGTTATAACTATTGTTAATATGATTAGTCTCTAGCTAATTAGCTAGATTTGGCTGTAATACATAATACACAATTATCATCTATAGTGGACCATACCAATAAAGTGGGACCACTCTACCTAGCTTATATTTTAGAATACTAGATGTTAATTTTGCAGGACTTTTGTCTTCCCCCCTTTTTTAGGATGACTCTCTCTATAGGATACTTCGCCTTGTCTCTGAACACGTCCAACCTATATGGGAACCCCTATTTGAATTGCTTTTTCTCAGCAGCTGTTGAAGTGCCTGCCTATATTATTTCCTGGCTCATGTTTCGCTACTTGCCCAGACGGTTGTGTCTCTTCTTCACCCTTTCTTTGGGTGGAACGGTACTACTCTTCATACATCTTCTGCCCCAACGTGAGATGAATTAAAGCTTACTAAATTCTATAGCTTTGGTGCAATTCATAGGAACTACAAGATTAGAGTATGTGTGGCTTGTTTTCTTTTTTCATTTCTAAGCCCACCCTAAAAAATACATTAATTTTTGAAAATCTCCTTATCCCCTTTGACCTCTGAACTACTCACTATATCTTTGGAAAGAGATTTATAGTTGAATTAAAGCTCTGAACATTACAATTAGTGTTGGGTATAGCAAATAGAATATCATGAATATGTATGTATTAGAATAAGTGGATATGATTTAGTTTAAACTCATAAGAAACTGCAGGAAAAGCATGCATGGCTTGGGTGGGCTGTGACAAATTTACAATTATGTGTTATGCCAGACACCATTTGTCACAACTTTTTGAATGAATGTTCTGTCTTTTGCTGCCACAGACATGAATTATGTTGCCATTTCGCTGGAGATGCTAGGCAAGTTTGGTGTCACTACAGCATTTGCGATAGTATATGCTTTTACTGCTGAACTATATCCCACTGTCTTGAGGAACACAGCTATGGGAGCTTGTTCAATGGCTTCAAGAATAGGCAGCATATCTGCACCATATTTCATCTACTTTGGTGAGTAAACTCTTATCAATTTAGCAAATTCAGTTTTCAAAGTATACTGTTGTACACTTCTATACAATTTCTAAATGTTGTGACTACATTTTACAACAGTACTTGTGCTTGTTATCTCACTTATCGTGGTCTTCCTGACATTTGAAACAGGGAGATGGCATAATATTGATGTTTTTACTTCAAAGGAAGTAAAGTTCTAATCAAAAAATGCCAAAAAGAATGTCACAAGGCTGTAGCAGAGTTTACTAACACAGCAAACCCATTGTAAATTTTGATGACAAATAAGAGACACCACTGTTCTACTGCAGTGATTCCTTATTGGAAATTTAAGTCAGTATCTGTATCCTCTATAAAAAAGCACAGTATTAGGATCCATTGTACACCAGATACACAATAACCACTGTATAGTTACACGCTATTGTTCTTTCATTGTTCCAGGAGGCTATCACAGAGCCCTGCCTTACATCCTAATCGGCACTCTAAGTGTTCTTTCTGGATTGCTGAGCCTACTGCTTCCAGAGAGCCTTGATATGCCACTTCCTGAGACCATCAGTCACATGCAGACAATTACTGGGTAAGCCTTATGCTGCAAGTCAAGCACGCTATTGTCTGTTGTTTGGTTAAGCATTATAACTTCTTCATGGTCCTTGATGGCATTTCAGAACAGACGTTTGGACTCAGGGTCATTATTAAGTAATCTTTTGGCCATTCTCTGTTATGTGTTAATGATTTAGCAAGACAAGAACACTAAAGTGACAAGTGTCTTCTTGCAATTTTCCTTTGATCTGTCTTTCAGTTGTAAAATGAGACGCTCATCTTACAGTCTTACCACTGCAAGAGCTGAAGAGGAACACATGTCCAATCCTAATGATGGTTTAGGGGCAGAAATATCAAAACTCTAATGAACAAATATCAAGAAATTGTTACTAGTATGCATTTCTCTCTTCAATGATTTATGTGTATTTTGCTGTAATAAATTGTTTACTAACAGTAACATAGAATCCTGATGATTATAATCTAGTATTTGAACATTATGTATTTCTGGGTCATTCATTACTCATTGCTCAAAGTATAGTGTATAGATGTTAAAATTATTGCATACTAAGTATTACCATTTACTCACTGATGTTAGTGCTCATTTGTGTATTAATACAGTATTTTTTGCAATAATAATGAGTTCATTTTAATTTTGGCTTTTGTGGCTTCATATTTAAATGTAGTTACAAAGCTATTGGCTGTAGTGCATTTTTTTTCAAATTTCAACAAGTAGATTAACACTGCATAACAAAAATTTCAGGGAAATCCATACTATATAATTAAAAATATTTAGTATGTTAATATGCTACATTGATTATAGTAATATTAACATGCACTTTATTCATTTATTATTATTATTTTACTCTAGCAAATAAACTGCCTCAGTTCATTTGTTTGTGCATTGCCTCTTGCTTTATTTTCATTTCTCTCTTTCTTTCTTCTAAAATTTCTTCTTATTTGAAAGAGACCATGTCTTGCTGAAGAATTCTAACTTTGGCAGTGATGATAGAGATGCTGTCTTGGCATGCGTTTTTCTTCATGTTTTTCTTGACAAGCATGGGCAATTTATCCTGTTAGTGAATGGGGAAAAATTTGTAACGTGGATGTGAATGAACATGTGTTCATAAATGATTTTTAAATTACAAGAAATTTGTTAGCTTTGCAATATAAATTGTAGTATTTGTTCAAGACCAGCAGCTGTGTTCAGAACGGAGCCCATGAATGTATATAGTTATAATAGAATGTCTCAACATGGAGCCCTATTTATAAACCATGTATGTTTTATTAAAAGTTCATAGTTCATAGATAAATGAAGAGAATGAATCTTTAAATCTTTGTATGTCTAAAACAGTTAACACATTAAAGGTTTGCAAAATGTGAACTTTTTTAACCAACTTTTTTTTATTAATAATAATTGCAGAACTTAGACTGGTACTATAGATTAATGTAGATGAATGAATAAATTCACTGGTAACACTTTATAATGCTCATGAAAAAAAGGAATGTAAAATTTATCTAAAAATTTTATTTGAAGTGGTTCACCACACCTATGTTTAGTAAATTCTTAAATACTTTTGAATCTAAATATAGATTGAGTATTATGTACTTCAGTGAATTTAAGTAAATCAAACAAAATTGATTTGAGTAAATGTTAGTTAACTGGACTGATCATTTTTATGTATTATTCGTACATAAAAAGAAGTAGCAACACAAGTCAGTAAATTTAAGACAGATATGTGTAGTTACCGATTACCCAGCTGTTGTCGTACAGCTTAGCAACAAGGCACATGGTAACTTACTTTTATAGCCATCAAGGTTAGGCAGTGAACCTACAAATAGAAGGACATGTGCACAAGGGAAGGTAGGCCAATGGAAAAGATGACACACAGAGTGTAAGCATTGTGTAAACAGATAGCACCAGGAATTACATGTAAAGCTGAAAAGTCTCTGTATATCATCAAAACAACAAAGCTGAGAGAAATTATTAAAATCAACAGATGTGCAGTTTAATTGCATTTAGTGCTATTTCTTGGGTAATAGCTAAACAGGGTAAACAGGAATGAATGAAAATACTCCTGACTTCTTCATCTATATTATGTTAAATTCAGCAAACTAACAGTAATTGTGCATTAAAATGTACAGATGTTTTCTCTGTAGAGAATGTGTGGTTATTTTCACTTAGAAAATACCAAAACATGTGATTTGAGCAGGGGCACCTAAACTTTTGCATTTTATCCAGTGATGATCCCTGTGAACTGGGGTCTTTTTTAACAGTTTCACAAAGTAGTGGGTACCTGCAGGTGTTAAGTTTACAGCTATTTACAGTCTCACAGAAGAAATAATACAACATTGAACCCATTGCCTCAATCTGCAATCTAGAGGCTAGGGGGTATCTCCGTACTGGCCAACTAAGCCAATTTAACTCTCACTGGAGCTGAAGTTCCAGTACCATCACCAGTCACACTTTGAATGAAAGGTTAACTCACTGATTGTTTCTCTGTGTTACTCCCAATATCCCACTATATTTACCACCTGTTATCACCAGTTCCACCAAGTAATCAGCAAATCTGACATCAGCTCCTTCAATAGAGATACAATTAATTCCAAAACATACAATTCATGCTAATCCTTTAGCCCCTGTGTTTGGCCCCAGATATCACCAGTGTTCATTTTTTTTTCTACATTTTTTTATCTCCTTTTTTGAAAGCCACTTGGACAACCATTAAACCAACACTTCCAAATTACATGACAGTTGTCTCTAAGTCATTGTCATTTTCTACGTCAACTAAAAAATTCATAAGTCAGCACAGTCTGCTGCTTACTCCCTGGTTGCAATGGACACTAATCAGGCTTGGCTAGTGTGATGACTACAGCCTGCTTCCCTCTCTCTAGGATAACTTTTAACATAAACTTGGGGCTTATTCATAATTCACTAAAAAACTGCGCTTTACTTTGCAAATACTCCCAGGAGTCAATGAATACCAACCTTGCAAGAAATGTCAATTACTATCCTGTAAGTGTACATAATATGCTAGGAAAACTAATACAATAAATGTTCCGTGGCAATATGGCTTGGCCAGTGAGATGACTGCAGCCTGTTTTCATACCTCAATTATGACTCTGATATGTTTTGTTAAAGAATATACTTCCTGATGTGATTTAAAATGGTGTATGGTGGGTCAGTTCAGGGATAATTCAGAGTTGTTATTACCAGCTGAAAACCTGTGTAAGACAGTGGAAATGGATTCTTCAAGTTGTGTTGGAGTACTTCGGTTCCAAGTATTACTATAGTAATAAAATGCTTTCTAGGTTAGATTTAGCCTCAGGTCATCAGCTTCAGATTGTGACCTTTGTCTTATTGACCTACCTGCCTGGGCTTTGTAGTCATCAGGAAAGTGTGGACATGGAGGCAGGACTTTGAACGTACATGACTCTATGATACCATAACTAGTAAAAGTTCACAGCAACACTGGCTAGTGTCAGGTGACTAGTGTTTAATACAATGTAGAATTTAGCATCAATACCAATTTATATCTGCTTCTGAATATCACAGTGCAATAGTCTATACACCTGGATAACAAAATAAGCTTGAGTGCTTATTTTCATGTGACCAGTTTGATGATAGTGTATTTATTTAACTTCATGTCAAAGCTTTGACATTTCAAAAAAAAAAAAAAAGAAAGTAAAAGGTCTTGTCATTGTTATAAAAACAACAGACATCATGGCATCTCCACAATCAAGAACAATAATTAGCTAATAAATAGGCATATTTGTAATGAATAATAAGTTGATAAGGCATATAAATGGTGATGGAATAGGTAACAATTATGTCAAAGTGATGGTTAGTAAAGGGGGTAGTGGGACCTAAGGGGTGTGATGATACAGAGAGAGCGTTTCAGGCAGCGGGAGATGAAGATGAAGTGTTGAAGAAGTGTTGAAGTCTGGCAACATAACCTCCTCGCTGTTGATGTAGAGCAGGGGATGGTTGCACTGACCGGGGGCTGGCCATGCAGAGTGGCTCCTGGGAAGTTGGGAGGTGCCACTTGTGTCCATGGAGGATGGGCTTTGTGAGTTTGTCCACCCTCCACACGTGTCATGTCCTCCCGTATCATCCCCTCCCTGGGTTGGTGCTGGGCATTTCTGGTCTTTGTAAAGACTCAGTTGAAGTGCCTGTTCAATAAAGAGCATTTGCCCATACGTGCAGTGTTTTCTGTGTCTTCTTAGGTGTTGCTACAATACTACCATGCTCTGTGGCAAGGATAAAAGTTCTGAGCTCAGTTGATCTTTTGTTTTTGATTCATGATGGCAAGAGGAAAAAATCTAAGTGGCTTTTGCACAGATGGCAGAAGCCTCAGTCACAAAATGCGTTCAACTAGTGCTTCAAAAGAAACAGTGACTAAAATTACATCTGCATTCAGATATATATATATAAACTCTATCCTTCACAAAAATTAACAATGTAAAGAACTATAAATATATAAACGCTAATAAACATTATAAATAGAAAAGCAAAAAAATCTTTATAGAGATATTGTACAAGTATTCCACATGGAGTATTGATTATATTGCACACAGGAATGGTGATGAATTTCACACTCTATGTGTTGTAGGTGTGTGAGGGCCTGTGATAACGCTCCTTCACACCCTTGGGGTGAAGCAGCCTGTCACTGAAGGAGCTGCCCAGTGCTGCCAGAGTCTTATGCATGGGGTGGGAGCTGTTCTCCAGCATGGATGCTAGTCTGGCTAACATCCTCCTGGCTCCCACCACCTGCACTGGGTTTAGGGGGCTTCCCAGGACAGAGCTGGTCTTCTTAATGAGTCTGTCAAATCTCTTCCTGTCTGCAGGTGAGATGCTGCTGCCCCAGCAGACCACTCCATAAAAGATGGCTGATGCCACAACAGTGTCGAAGAAGGTTCTCAGGAGTGCCCCCTCCACTCCAAAAGACCTTAGTCTCCTAAGCAGGTAGAGTCTGCTCTAGCCTTTCCTACAAAGTGCACTAGTGTTTGCTGCCCAGTCCGGTCTATTGTTAAGGTGAAAACCTGGGTACTTATAAGAGTGCACTTTCTCGATGTCCATTCCCCGGATGTTCACTGGTGGAGGGAGGTGACTGCATCTGTGAAAATCCACCACCATCTCTTTGGTCTTTCCTGCATTGATCAGGAGGTGGTTCCTCAGACACCAGTCCACAAAGTCCTGGGTCAGTTCTCTGTACTCTCTGTCGTCCTCATCTGTAATGAGTCCGATGATTGCTGAGTCATTAGAGAACTTCTGTAGATGGCAGTTTGGTGAACTGTACATGAAGCCTGCAGTGTACAGGATGAAGAGGAACAGTGTCAGGGCTGTTCCCTGCGGGGACACTGTGCTGCTGAACACCATCTTAGACACACAGTCCTGTGCCCTCACATAGTGTGGTCAGTTGGTGAGGTAGTCCAGGATCCAATTTGATAGGTGGTGATCCACCCCTGTGTTCTCCAATTTGTCCCTCAGGAACCTTGGCTGTATGGTGTTAAAAGGACTGGAGAAATCAAAGAACATGATTCTCACAGTGCTCCCAGGCTTCTCCAGGTGAGAAGGAGCTCTGTGGAGGAGGTAGATGATTGTGTCATTCACTCCAATGCCAGGTTAATAGGCAAATTGAAGTGGGTCCGTAGACAAGTTCACCAGAGGGTGGAGATGCACAAGGACCATCCTCTCTAGCATCTTCATCAGATGCAACGTCAGTGCCACCGGCCTGTAGCTGCTGAGGTCCTTCGGTTGCTTTAATTTCCACAGTTGTGGTACTCTCCCGAGCTTCAGGCTCATGTTGAACATGTGTTCAACTATCCCACACAGCTGATCTGTGCAGGACTTAAGGAGCCTGGCGCTGATGCCATCCGGACCCGCAGCTTTCCTCACTTTGATC